AGATCTTGTCTCTACAATAAAAAAAAAAAAAAAAAAGCTCATGCCTGTAGTTCCAGGTACTTGGAAGGCTGAGGTTGAAGGATTGCCTGAACCCAGCAGGTCGAGGCTGCAGTGGCTGTGAGCAGCCTGCCACTGTACCTCACCGTGGGCAACAAAGTGAGACTCTGACTCAAAACAAACATACAAAAAAATCCTTTCAGCAGCAGACAAGAGACATTCTCTCTGTTGTCCTGTCTGTTGTGCCCTTCACAATGTATCTTTCCTTTAATAAACCTACCTTTCTTAAAATAAATAAATAAGTAAATAACTTTTCTGGTCTGAGCGGTGGCTCACACCTATAATCCCAGCACTTTGGGAGGCCGATACACAAGGATTATTGGAGACCAACCTGGGCAACTTGGTGAGATCTCATCTCTACAATGAATAAAAAAATTAGCTGGGCGTGGTGGCACGCACCTGTAGTCCTGGCTACTTGGAAGGCTGAGATGGGAGGATCACCTGAGCCCAGGAGGTGGAGGATGTGGTAGGTCATGATAGTGCCACTGCTCTCCAGCCTGGACAACAAAGTGAGATCCCGCCTCAAAACAAAAACAAAAAAACCCCACCATGTCCAAGATTAAGATATCGGCAGGATAAAATAAAAAAAAAAAAAAAAAAAAAAAGACTTCTCTGTGAAACTTGAAAAAAATTTTTTTTTAAATTTACATTGAAGTATTTTTAAAATTTAGGTATAGCTAGGTGTGTTGGCTCACACCTGTAATACCAGCACTTTAGGAAGTAGAGGCAAGAGGATTGTCTGAGCTTGGATTGGACACCAGCCTGGGCAACATGGTAAGACCTCATCTCTACAATAAATAAAAAAACTAGCCGGGAGTGGTGGTGCACGCCTGTGGTTCCAGTTACTTGAAAGGCTGAGGTGGAAGGATCACCTGATCCCAGCACGTTGAGGCTGCGGTGGTCATGAGCAAGCTACTGCACTCCAGCCTGGGTGACAGAGAGATTCCAACTCAAAAAAAAAAAAAAAAAATTCAGGTATAAAATACAGGGGGTGCGTTGAGCACTCAAATCTTAAATGTGCAGGCTGATGGATTCTTCCATTAGGGGTTTGTCCCTGTAGCTACCACCTGGGTTACAAGGTGCCGGCCCCATAATGAGCATTGCTTTGTTTCATTCTGACCCTGTCAGGTCTGAGCTGCTGTTATTCCCATTGCACAGATGAGAAGACTGACCAGGTCTCAGGCCACCCGCCTGACTCCACTGCCTGCGAGAGAGTAACTGTTTCACTACTGACTCAGTCACCGGTTTCGGCACTAGTCCCAGCGCAAGGGAGGTGGTTGTTGTCAATCCCCTCCCGTTCCTGGAATGGCTGCCACCCTGGGGGTCCTTGCATACCTGCACTTTGGTGCTGCCTGTCATCTGCCTGCCAGGAATCCCACACAGGCTTGTGGATAGCCACCCTCTGCCCCACCACTCTCCCCAAGGCTCTCCCTCAGCCTTCAGAGCAAAGAGCCCTCTTCGGGGCTAGAAAGTAGCAGATGGGGAGAGACTAGCCTGGCCGCACTGTCACCGGCACTTGCACTAGCAGAAACCTCCAATGACCCGCACTGAACTTGGGATTGAGTGCGGAGGATGCTGGGTACCCTCCTGGGACTCTGCCTCACCCACACAAGAAGGCAGAGAGGGGCCGGCCTGGAAAGAAATCCAAGAGAAGGCCTGGTCCTGTCTCTCCTCTGCTCTGTGCCGGGCTCCCAGCTTCTGGCTGGCTGCTGATGCCCCGTGTGGAGCTCCATGAGGCGCCTTGTTCCTAGCACAGCCTTTCTCTGGCCTCCCAAAGCATGGGAGGGCCCAGGCTGTGTCCCCTCTAGTGCCACCGTGGCCCTGTTGGCCTCCCAGATTTGGGGAAGAGGCATGAGGGGGAAGAGCCAGGAGGAGCAGGCAGACGAGGGTGGAGGGTGACGGGGGAGGGGCAGAGAACCTCAGCCAAGAGCCCTTTACACTCACCTCTGCTTCCAGCCTCTTCCAGCAGAGGGTGGAATAAGGGGTGGGTGGGATGGGGTGATCTGGGGCCTTCTGCCCTCAGCCAAGGAGGTTCAGGGTGCAGGCTGCGGCTTAGGGCCCCAGAAGGCATGGCGCAGGTGGCCCAGGAAGCGGACAGCCAGGTGGGCCCAGAGGAACAGCTGCAGCCACAGCTGGAAGGTGATCTCTGAGTCCCCACCCTGGCTGCTGCCCGACCCCAGATCCATCCTCGCCTCCCTGGGCTCTCCCTGGAATGTTCCCTTCGCTGGGGAACCAGGAAAACGCACAGCCTCCAAGCCAGCTTCCTTGGGAAGGCCTCAGGGGACCAAGGAGGAGGAGCTGGTTGCCACGGAAGCATTTAAAGGTACCTGCTCCTGGCTGTCCAAGGTCTGCAGATGCCCTCCTTGGCAGGAGGCAATGAGAAGATTCTCCTGAGTGTATCTCTCAGGCCGGCCCACGTGCCCCGGGGTGGGGCACTCTAGCTAACTTCCCTTTCCAGGGACTTCACTGTTCCCGGGATGCCAGGCCTTGCCTTCTTCACTGGGTGCTGCACTGTCCAGAGGATGGCACCCAATGTGCCCAGGGCAGTGCCCACTTGGCAGAGGGGAAGGAGTTAAGGCCCAAGCTCAGACAACAGCCAGGGATTCCCTGGGGGGTAAAGAGGCCCCAGAGCTCCCTGAATTAGCTCCACGAACAGCTGTAGAGAAAGATTGGGGACTGGGGGGGGGTAAGAGGTACCCTATCTCCTCCCCTGAACTCCCTTCCAGTGTAGACCCCCAGATCCTGCTATACCAGGAGAGAAGAGGGTACATCTGGCTCTCTGCCTGTCTCCTATGTGGGGGTGGAGAGGGGAACGGCATCCTGGGATGTCCTTGGCCTCTGTCAAACCTTGCCCTGTGCTTGGCTCTGCTCTGGGCCATGAAGGTCCAAACCGGAAATGAATGGCTAAGTCCAGGGAGGGAGGAGGGGGAGGTAGCCTTGACCATCTCTCTCCTTTCTAGATCCCAAAAGAAGCAGAGGGTCGGCGGCAACCTCTCTGAGAACGCCTGGCACCCATGGTCCCTGCTGGCAACAGGAAGTGGCAGAGGAGGGTTACCAAGTCAGCCGCTGGCCTGTGGAGCCTGCTACCTGCCACATCTCCCACATGGAGGGTGCTAGCCTCCATGATGATCTGGATTCCACTTGGGCTCAGAGAGAAAACTCCAGACACCCCTTGAAAATGCAGGGCCATAGCAGAAGGCAGAAATAGAGAAAATCACCCTGGGAATGAGGGATTGCTACAATCGAATGTCAATCTGGGCAAGGGGCTCGGGGAGCCCCCAGAAGGAGCCCAGCCTCAGGAGCCGCCTCCCCGAGGCAGCAATCTCAGACCCTCTGCCCTCTGACACCTGGCTGTCCCGGGAATTCCGGGGCAGGAATGCCCAGCCTGAACTGGGCCCTCTAGGCCACTGGCAGATTCCTCCAGTCCAGCCTGGATCCCCTGCTCTGGGCTGCACCATCCACCCTCCAGTCTGAGCAGGGCCCCAACACTGGGCAGGACCATCCCCCAGTCCGAGCTGAACCCCCACACTGGGCTGGATCCACCCGGTCTGAGCTGAACCCCCACACTGGGCTGGACCATCCCCCAGTCTGAGCTGAACCCCGACACCGGGCTGGACTCCCACTCAGGGTTTACCACTCCCCTTGTCTGAACTGGGCCACACACCGCCTTCTGCTTTTCCCCAGGCCCTGCCCAGGGGTGTAAGGGAAGGGCTTCCAGGGCCGGCCAGGGGTCCACAGACTCCTCTTCGCCCGCTCCCCCAGGCCCACTGCTTGGAGGGGCAGAGTGTGCCTGGAAGTTGCTATAGCAACAGGACCGCAGCCTCACCTCCGTTGGCGTTGGAAGCCATCTCTGTTCTCCTCGGGCACCCGGACTACGGTGGCTGGGAAGGCTCACGAGCCGGGCCGACCAGCGGGGCTGCCCGTCCCCAGTCCCCAGACCCCTGCCCGTAGTCGGAGCTAGGGAACTGCGGGCCGAGAGCGGGAAGAGTAACCCCACCTGGAGGCCGGTGGGTACAGGGGAGGGGCAGATGGGCCTTCCAAGCTTCCGTAGGCCCGCCTGGGCTTAGGGAAAACTGCCGTGACACGACCTTCTGGGGCGCATGCAACGGCCAATGCACGAGGGCGCCTGGCCCTCCCGGGCATCCGTAGGACGCAAGACGGCCGCAGTCCGTCCCATCCGGGGGCTTCTGGGCGCCCCTTTCCCTCGGTGGCAGGGTCTGGTTGTCTCTGGGGCTGCGGCGGGGAGGGGGCTCTAGGGGCTCCCTCGTTCCAGCTCTGGCCCTTCCCCTTGGGCCGGCTCCCAGGGCATCTTCGGCCAGCGCCCGCCAAGACCTGAGCCCCACTTGGCTGCCGGACCTGGGGGCCTCCTGGGGCCACTGCCCTCGCTCAGTTCTTCCAGCCTGGCCAGGGCCTGGCGCTTGTCTTTATCCTCTGCCTCCCTCAGCTCTGCCAACGGCTTTGTCATCTTTGGGTGTAGATTCCCCCCACTCCACTCCAGGGCTCGTTCGAGGTCCCTGCCCTCTTGGGAGGAGGCAGACCCTGTCCTGCCCTGGCAGCGATGGAGCAGCGTGGGCCGCAGGATGCTTCACTGGTGCTTCCTAAGGCTTCTGGCATTTTCCTGACCCCTGTCGGGCTAGTGTCTGGCAGATGAAATTCAGGTGCCCCCTGCAGGCTGGCCTGGCTACTGCCCCCACCCCTGCCCCACCCTGGTTACAAGAGGCCAGATTTTGTCTAACCCCATCCTCCCAGAATCAGAGAGATTCGAAGCAAAGAAGGCCTTCCTTCCTCATCCTGTTTCCTTCTCTGGGAGCCTCTGGGAGGAAGTACAGCTTCGGGCGTTTCCCAAAGTGTGCCGTGGTCCCACTGGCAGACCACGAGGAGATTTAAGGGATGTTTCATTTAGCTAGTTACACTGAATTTTTTTTTTGAGTTGGAGTCTTGCTCTGTCGCTCAGGCTGGGGCTAGAGTGCAGTGGCATGCTCACAGCCACCGCAGGCTCGACCTGCTGGGCTCAGGTGATGCTTCCGCCTCAGCCTTCCAAGTAGCTGGAACCACAGGCACGCGCCACCATGCCTGGCTAGTTACATTGCATTTTAATGTGTGTCTGTCAGAATATAACTGGCATCAAAGTCCCATGATGTCATTTATATTATTGCTTAGGATGAGCTCCAAGTTTACATCAGAACAGAAGTGAGTAAAATCTTTACTATTTTACGTTAAGTGAATCGGGTAAAAATATGGGAGGCAGCTGATGCACGTCTGAGTTGGGAATTTCTGGGGCTGAGGAAGTTTGCTGGTAGATTGATCTGGATGTGAATCCTGCCTCTGTGACATCATCTATGTCACACTCGGAGAGCTCGTTTGAAAAATTCGGATAACAGCCTGTTATGAAAAGCAATAGAGCAGATAAATCTAGCTGCCTGGCCACTTAGTCTGGCACATCCTGGGTGCCCAATAAATAGTAGCTACTGCATGGTGATCATTCATTCCTGGGTGTCTAAGAGAATTAGGTCTCCTTCCGGAGCCTTTGATCATTTTCTTGGGATCTTTTTCCCTGTGCAGCTTTCCATTCCCCACCACATGTGTTTGATATGCCTTGAAGGTTTTCCAGGACTGTGTCATCTCCCCAACTTTCAACGGAGTCACTGCAATATATAGCTGCCTGTCTCTACCTTCCACCTCCCAGCTGGCCTCACCTGCTGGGGGCCTGGCCGCTCCCCCTCTGCCTAGTCCCCTCCAAGCTCATGCCCAGACCTTTTTTGGACACCACCCACCTGCTCCTCTGTCATCAAGCACTCAACTACAGGCACTTGCCTTCTCATTCCCCGCCCATCAGTGACATGTCAGGCCTCTTCATGGCTGCTCTGCTACTCTGAGTTCTGCTATTTGAATCCATGTGGGAATAAAGTACCCTCGCTTTTCACATTTTTCCCAGGTGGGGAGCATTCCCGGGACTCCAATGCTGGGGTTTGAGACCAAGAACTGGGAGGGGCATAGTTGGATGTGGCCTTCCTTTTCAGTTCTGGCTATTTCTGGGTGTCTGGAAGGGGATCCCACTGTGGTCCAGCTTTAGGACTGGAGCGATTTAACTTAAGAACTGGAAGAATTGGGGAGGGGGTTCATGGTCACCTCTGAAGGCATTTTCAGAGACAGAATCTCTTTGGCTTGAAAAGGCCAACATAATTTGGGGGCAAGGGAGTAAAACAGGTTTCTCTCTTGAGAGCCCTAGGAATGATCAGAAGCTGTTTGTCCCTTGGCCAAGCAGATCCCTAGATGTCACCCATGACCCTCCTTGACTGCGCCCCCCAGCTACCCACGGCTTCTTTCCCACCATCCTCAGTTCAAGCCGAATGAGCCCTGCTAAACCCAGACACTTTTCATCCCGAGCCAGGAATGGTGTAGAAGCCCCAGGGACTGGGTGAATGACGGAGCCTCAGTTGTGAAACAACCATTTATTGAGGGGCCCTCCAAGGAGCCTAGAGCTCACTGCACAGCAGGAGATGGGAGGGGGCTCTGTCACCGCCCCCCACCCCTACGCAGCAAAGAAGACGCAATTAATCCTAGCAAGACCAGCTCAAACTTGGCTTTGGAAGCACCGAAGCAGTTCTCTAGGTTCGTAAACAGCCTGCCACTCCAGCCAGGGACAGACGCTTGTTTGGAGGAGGGAGCACCAGCAGAGAAGCGGAGTGACAGGGGGAGGATGAGCGAGTGGCAGAGGGACCCAGAAAGATCCTGTCCCCCATGCCAAGTGACACAGAAGGGAAAAACAATGTTGGAGGTGACTCTGGGAAATGCTCAAGCGGGGGCAGGGTGGGCTTTGGGGGGGTGCTACGATAAGGTGAAGAGGGGAAGGGCAGGAGAAAGATGGCGGGGTCTGGCAGGGGGAGGGGTGTGGTCACCAAGTGGCCAAGCTCCCTGCGGCGTGGAGGCAGACCCCACAGCACTCCCCAACCGGCAAAAGCCTGAGTCAGGGTCAGGGAGTGGGTCCCACCTGGGTGAGATGAATGAGGAAGTGGGGGGATTAGAATCTGCGAAGAAGGGCCGGGAAAGGAGGGAGTGGGGTGGTGACAGGGCCCCATGTGGGGCCCCAGCGGTCATGCGTGCCACGGTTGGCAGTGACCACTGGGAGGGCACAGTCGTGGCCGTGGGGGACAGCCGCAGGCAAGGGGGCTCCCACGGAAGGTCCTTTGCGGGCCTTGGCCCTGACAGGCAGGGGGAAGGGGCACGGGGGCAAGCAGGGAGGAATGGGGGGGCGCCGCGGGGGGGGGGCC